CCGATTTGCGTCGTACGACGCTCTGCAACCAATCGGGAAACAGGATTCCGATGGATTTTGCTTCATATTATCAGAATTCCGAATCCAGCATTACGAGAGATATTCTCAAAAAATATCGCGTACGAAAATGTACAAAATACTATATAGTATTATGTACATATCAATTTTCTTAGGATATACGATATTTTTCGAGAATAAGATAATATCTTAGGGGCTCCGCACATCGCACAATAAAAGGAACAGGGAACAGAGAACAGAGAATAAGAATTTCAACCTATCACAAATCATGTATTGTGGCATACACACTGCGTATTCCACAATACATGATTTCTGATAGGTTGAAATTCTTATTCTCTGTTCCCCGTTCCTTTTATTGTACGGAGCCCCTCAGAATTGCTCAAAATATGCATGCACATACATACATATACAAATAATACATGCGTGTGTATGAACACGTACACTTGACGTCACAAATGCCTTCCACACGAAGTTGCACGAGTTACACGAGTATTGGAGAAGGAACGAGAAGGCATGAGAGAGAATAAGAAGGCACGAAAGCGCACGTTAAGGCATTTGTAACGCTGGATACGGCGTGTATGTACGTACATACTACATACATACGAGACGAAGGTACGGAAGCGCGAGCAAGCGCGGGCTTTCTCGCGATAGGCCACGATAGGTGTCCATATCAGAGAAACGATGATAGAGAGGAATTTCCTTCTGTACCATTATTCATGGATCGCGCGAGTAATTGCTCGTACATCGTAAATTACGACTATTACGAGAGAGCGTCGCAAGTCGTCGCATGTAGGAATGTGGCACTTCAAAATGGCTGCCAGTTAGTCAAGTAATTTACGGCCGTGTCTGCCTTTGTTGTCGCGCGTGTGAATCGCGAGTTCTCTCGCGAGCACCGCGGAATCTGGCGGAATTCGAAGTCGGCCGCGACGGAGGTGTGTGCGCGAGGGCGCGCGCACGAGAGAGTACGACCGTACGCACACGCACGCACGTGTAGGAGGTTGAAGGTGCGCGCGCGTGCGTGTTGCGCATGTATGTCATGTATGTATGCACGTATGTATGGATGTGCGTGTCCGCATGCTTGCTCGTTGAGGAGGCTTCCCGATCGCCCGTTCGATGAATCGCGCGCACCAGAAGAATACCTCGGCGGTACATGTGATTAATATATCGCTGACATTCGTCGCGCTCTATATCGCATAGTTTTGTCACATGGCTCGCCACGCGGCGCAAACGTAAGAAAGCGCGACGGGAATATGCTCGGACGGACGGCTGCCGCCGCCGCTGTTATTGTTGCTGCTTCTGTTGCTGCTGCTACTACTACTACTACTGCTGCTGCTGCTACTACTATCACTACTACTAGTACTACTATTACTACTACTATTACTGCTACTACTACTACTACTACTACTGGCAATGCTAACAATCGCGTGCGTATCACCACCGTTGCTTCGTCAAGAGAGTTCTATCCCGTGGAATTCCGCGACGAGTGGCAATACGTCGCCGTACCATAAACATCTCGGTGCATGAACAAACGAGTGTAAGCGTGCGCGCGCGCGCGCGCGCATGTGTGCGACACTAGACTTTGTCGCCGTCGGTCGCCGTCGTCTCTCTCTCGGTACCAGCATTATCAGCGGGACGGGGACCATCCATTCATTGGTGAATAGGTTAGCTATCCGTCGATCGTCCCCTCGCGTGCGCGCGGGCGGCACGAAGATGCCGAAAATCGGCCGCGAGAGATGTCCACCGTTTCCTCGTCATCGTGCCCTTCGTCAACGTCCTCGCGAGGTGGACATCCGAGGAAGATTTCACTTCACGACGTCGTAAAGCACTTGTCACTCGGATGAGTTCGCTGTGTCGATTTTGTACCCCTTGTTTATATGTTTTTAAACGCTTCTCGCTATTAATCGTTATTTCGTCATTGGTAACTTCGTACTGTTGTGATACGACGTTGTTGTATATGACGTTCGAATAAAAGTGACCCTGAGTCTCAGAGCGTGTTGTGAATTGAACTAGCTACACACCATCTATTCAGCCATGACGCTGGGCAGGATCTGTGGCAGAGCTAACTGACAGTGATCTTTGTGTTGTAAGCATTATCTTCTCATAAGTAGGACCATGCGCTTTAAAACTAGACTTACACTTGTCAAGATTCAATATAGCCCCTTGTCTTATATACATTCCTAAATAAATATATTAAAATTGAACTGGAAATTGTAGGTTCACGCAAAAATATTATTAGGCACTAAAATTTGTTTTGATCGAATATCTTCTTTACTTTTTTGTGTTAAATATATTAAAATTATGTGTTTCTATTTCTCCTCTCATATACAATTTTATTCATAGTATTATAAGAAGAATACATAAGAACAGGGGGGGTCAATCATGTAATTTTTCCCTAGAACGGAACGTGAAAAGTGAATTTTTTTATATGT